TTATCCCAACAAATAATGAGATTCGAGTTTTTAGTAAAAATAGTGTTTGCTCGATATATGTTTTAATTATAGTGACAAAATATATTGTCACAAAGATTTCCCTCCATAATTTTTTGCGTCAAAAAAGTCATATGGTGACAAAATTTTGTAACTATAAGTGTTAATAATTATTACAAAAAATATTGTCACAAAAATAATGATATTAATGTTTTTGTGACAAATTATATTTGTAATTATAAATTTTAACTATAATGATAGCATATATTATTAAAACTATTTTTCTCCACTTTTTTGTTTCAAATGTTATATTGACAATTTTTATAATTATAATTTATAGTTATTGTTATAGATAATTATAGTGATAATATATATTGTGATAAATATTTTTCTCAACTTTTTTTCAAAAAGTTGTATTGATAAGTTTTGTAATTATAATTTATAGTTATTGTTTTAGAAAAAATTATTACATCAGATAATAAAATTCATGTTTTTTGCAATAAATTATTTTTGTAGTTATATATTTTAATCATTATGAAAAATTATACTATCATAAACATTTCTCCCTATTTCATGGTGCCAAAAATGTTACATAGTAAAAGTTTTATAGATATTGTTATAGAAAATTATAACAACAAAAAATTTATTTTTTAATTAAAAAATGATTTTAGTTTTTTTTTGAAAAAAATATGTTTGTAGTTATACATTTTGATTATAATGATAAAATATTATTATTATTATTATTATAAAAACAAAATGTTCAAAAACAATAAATTTTCTGTGATATATATAATTCAATGGCATTTTCAAATAAAATATAATAACAAAATATATTATCAAAATGTTTTCATTTATTTTTTATGAAGCTAGCTTGAAATTTTTTTCTTAATTACAATTATGTAAATAATTTAATAAAGAATTTGAATAAATCAATATGCATAATTAAATAAATCAAAAGTAATTTCATTTAGAAGCATACAAACAACTATAATTAATTAAACTAAATAATATATTTTAATAAAATAATTGTCTCAAGTAAAATTATAAGTAATCATCCTCCTCCTCTTCGTCTTCATATTGGTCGTCCATATCTTCATTTTCACCACCACCACCACCATCGTTATTATCATTATCATCGTCTAAGTAATTAATGATGGTATCATCATTATCATAATAATCATCATCATCACCTTAATCAAATAAACTAGTATGAATTGTTCTTTCATTTGACATTGATCCACTATTTGAAGGCAAAAGACTAGAATCAATCTCATAGACTTCAGCTTCTTGATTTAACAATTCATTGCTTTCAATATTAGTTTGATGAACATCATTGGAATCAGATTCAAATTATTGATATGGCTCATGAGCTAGATCACTTTCATTTCCTTCGACTTTTGGAACATTGTATATATGTACATGATTTGTCTTTTGCACAAATTTCAAGTTATCTCCATTTTTTACATCATCAATGTAAAAAAACCTGCTCCACCTGAGTACCTAAGACAAAACAGTCACATGTATACCATTTTTGACTAACGTTCACACTTATCAAGTCTCCATTTGTTCTTATGCCATATTTCTTGTCACCAACATTCCACCAGTCACACTCAAACATAAAAACTTTATTCTCATTGCAGTAATCAAGCTCAATAATATATGTTAACTAACCATAAAAATTGGTTTCTTTTGAAGTATGAACTCCATGCACTAAAACACCACTATTTTGAGTGTACTAGATCCACACTTGATAGTATGAAACCTAACCCTATTCACAATTATACTAATATAATAACTAACATGTGTATCAGAACCAATACCTAATACATATGGATGATTGTTCGATTCAAGTGAACCATCCAAATGCAACTTAATAACTTGTGAAAATAAGTTTAAAAGTGTAATTAATAAATATATTTTTATTAATGAATATGATATGAACTGAGAAACAATTACATATCATTTTAACCAAGAGGGAAATTCAACTTGATGTCTTTGTTGCAAGTCAGCATTCCATTGTTTCTGAATTTCCTCTATATGCATTCTATATATTCAAAAAAAATATAATTAGTAAATCATAAAGTATAATAATATTTAAAGTTTACATGTACTTCAATGAAAAAAATTAACTTACTTTAAGTACTTTTCTATCTCTTCAAAATTGATAAGTATATACCATTGAATCATTCTAAAATCAAAATCGAACAGTGTATCATATATTGCAGCTCCCAAAGGTCTTGCTTTTTGTGAAAAAATAGAATACTCATTTTCAATCTTTATTTGATCTCTGTCAAAGTTTCTTTCCATTCTGTTATATCTAGTTTCAACTCCATGAAAGTATATAGAACAAAAACTAAGACACTCTTTGTTCACATACGCTTCAGCGATGGAACCTTCACAGCGAGCTTTATTACCCACAGAGTCTTTCAGTGTACTTAAGAACCTATTCATAGAAAATAAATCGTGAATCCATAACGATGAATGAACATAAATAAAAAGGCTAAAGTATAAATTTGATATTACCTTTCAATAAAATACATCCATCGATAGTGAACGAGACCACCTAACTCAACCTCACGGGGTAAGTGAATAGACAAGTGTAACATAACCACAAAAAAATGACGGAGGGTATATGCTTTCAAGCTTACACAAATTAGAGCTATGTCACTTTGCAACTTATATAACTTGTCTTTTTAAACTGTCTTTGAACATAAATATATGAAAAAACAACTCAACTCAGATAACACAATGTAAAGATCCTTTTGTAGATAACCATATGTTGTTGCCGGAATGACTCGTTGCATAAAAACATGATAATCATGACTTTTCATTCTAGAAAACTTTTCATCATCTACATTTACACATCGAGATAAGTTTGAAAAATAGCCGTCAACATTTACACATCATCTAAGCCATTCACAAAACTTTTTTCGAATTGACAATGGCAATGTATAACATGCTATATGCATTTCTAACCTATCACCATTACGTTTTAAGTGCAACTCTTTTCTAATGCCTATTTCTTCCAAATCCAAACGACTCTTAACATTATCCTTTGTCTTTCAATCAATATTCAACAATGTTCCCAAAATGTTTTCACAAATATTTTTCTCAATGTGCATCACATCCAAATTATGGCATAATTTTAAAAATTTCTAATACGGAAGGTAAAAAATGCTTCTTTTAGTCCAATTCAACTCTCCATCAGTACGTTTGCGCTTTATATTAGTATATATTTTCCCAAAACTCATAGAAATGCAATTTGTTTGTTCAACTATATCATCTCTGGATAATTCTGAAGGCTTATCTCTATACTCTGGCTTACCATAAAATTTCTTACATTTTCTCCATGGATGTGTTTTATCCAAGTATCTACGATGACCCATGTAACATTGTTTCTTCCCATTATTCAAGGTAACATAATCTGTCCACTTTTTGCAAATAGGACATGCCAATTTTCCTTTCGTACTCCACCCAGATAACATACCATATGCAGGAAAATCATTTATAGTCCATAACAATGCAGCGTGCAATTGAAATTTTTCATGAATGTACACATCATATGTTTTAAAACCATTCTCCTGTAAATCTTTCAACTCATCTATTAAAGGTTGTAAATAAACATCAATTTCATTACCAGTAGAATTCTTACCTGGAATTAATGTGGACAAAAACAAAAATGGCTCATTCATTCATTTCTAAGGTGACAAATTATAATGAAGTAGGATAACGTGCCACATGTTGTAGTTGGTGCTCATATTGCCAAAAGGATTGAAACCATCACTAGCAAGCCTAAGTCGTACATTAAGTGAATCTAAAGCAAACCAATCATTTTCTTTATCAAACTCTTGTCAAGTTATTGCATCATCCGGATACCTTATTACATCATCATTAATACGTTTTTCCTTGTTCCATTGCATGTCTTCAGCAACATCTTTAGACATAAATAATTTTTCAAATCTAGGTTTCAAAGGAAAATATTTAACTATTTTACGAGCAATCTTTCTATGTTTTCCCAAACCAAATTTCCACCTTGAAGCTTGGCAATTAGGACATTAATCAAAATGCTCATATTGTTTCCAGTATAATATGCTATCATTCACACACGCTTCAATATTGATATAACCCAAACCAAGATGACGCAAAAGCTTTTTCACCTTATAATAAGATTAAGGAAGTGTTTCATCCTTCGGGAGAACATCCTTGAACAATTTTAAGTTCAAATAAAAAGATTTGATACTCGAATTGGTAATTGTTTTATTGTGGATCATCTTCATAAGAAATGATAACTTTGAGTACATACAACTAGGATATAGTTCAAGTTGAGCATCATTTAACAATTTTCTAAACTTTTGTACTTCCCCTTCCGGCTTAACTGTTTCAGTATTCATAGATGAAATTTTAATATTAGTTCCAATGAAAGTTGATTTTTGTATGTCATTTATCATTTCAAACATATAACCATGTTCTTGTTGAACTTCATCACTAATGTGATTATTATCATTCAAATCATGATTTGATCACTATTTGGTTTAAAAGACTCATTGTGATGTGTCCATTGAGTATAATCCTCTGCATCCATGTCGAAACAAATCGAACTTGACATCTGCTAACTTTTTTAAATAAGCAGTTGTTACAATCTTTGAATGGGCAACGAATCCTACCACTGAAGTATGTATTTTGTTTTGCAAGATTTAAGAAATCACAAACTCCTTCTTGATATTTAGTGATAAATCTGTTTGTATGTGACATTCAACTTCTATCCATTGTACCAACCCTAACATATATAAAATAAATTAACAAATATAGAAAACAAATTAATTAATATAGAAATTGTCAACAAAAGGGTAGAGGGGATACTACATAGACTACAAAAGAGGTTAAAATACAAGCAACCATGGAAGCTATAATATGATCCATACAAATTAATATACAATATTACAAAGAAAGAAACAAGAGGGAAACAACAAACAAAAGGGAATTAAATTGAAGATTTATAGGTTATGTCGTTTATATTTGGTAGTTTAAAGGAGGAAAATGCAGTTAAAAGTTCTCAAATTATGGTACTAGAGACCCAAATTTCTTCTACCAAAGAAAACCAGGATAACGAGCATGAAAAATGGCGGGCAGCTCAAGTCAATTATGAAAGACAGGTTATTCTACAATCAGAGACCATTCAGGAGTTGACTAAAACTTCGCAAGATTTGGCTTTACTGAAAGAGGAAGCATCTAAGTTGTGTAAACTGGCTGATGCCCATAGAAGTGAAAATACTGAACTTAAGGCTAAGTGAAAATACTGAACGTAAAGTGGTTGAAAGCACGAGGACATGTAATATTGCAATTAGCGCAGTCAACTTCTTTTTTGGGCTAGGTTGATCTATTCAAAGTACGTGGAAAATTTGCATTATCATATGCATATGTGTAGAAACCAGAGTAATTCTCTATAATTTCTTATTCTTTTCAATATGACAGATTATATATTTATATACAAAATATCTCTCTAAAGTAGAAAACTCTAAGAAAGAAAAAATAATAATCCTAGGATATGATCCCTTAAAATAAGGGATTGTAGAAATCTATTTACAAAATCATATCTCTATAGGAATTGTAACAAATCATATCTCTATAGGAATGGTAACAAATCATATCTCTATAGGAATGGTAACAAATCATCTCTATAATTCCTACACTCCCCCTCAAGCTGGAGAATATACATTGTATAATCCCAGCTTGAATAGGAATTTATTGAAAACAGGCTTTGGCAAAGCCTTAGTAAGAATGTCTGCAACTTGTTCTTCTGAAGGAATGTATGAAAGTGTGGTTGTCTTTTTGTTAACTTGATCAGCAATAAAATGCCTATCAATCTCAAGATGCTTTGTCCGATCATGTTGAACTGGGTTCTTGGCAATTTGAATAGAAGATTGATTATCACACAAAACTTCAAAGTGATCCTCTTGATTAGTGACAAGTTCTTTCAGTAGTTTAAGTAGCCAAATTCCTTCGCATATTCCCAATGCTAGTGCTCTGAATTCAGCTTCAGCACTACTTCTTGAAACGACATATTGTTTCTTACTTCTCCAAGTTGTAAGGTTTCCCCAAACAAAGGTACAGTAGCCACTAGTGGATCTCCTTTCAGTAAGGTCTCCGGCCCAACTAGAATCTGTAAAGATCTTAACAGTTCTGTCTTGTGTCTTCTTAAACATTAAACCGTGTCCTGGAGTTTTCTTCAAGTACTTGAGAATTCTATTTGTTGCTGCCATATGCTCTTCAATAGGATTGGTCATGTGTTGACTTATCACATTTACATGAAATGCTATATCTGACCTTGTCAAGGATAAATAAATTAGTTTCCCAACTAATCTTTGAAATTTCTCTTTGTCTACTAAGGACCCATCTTCTTTGTTGAATTTCAAGCTTGCCTCCATTGGTGTATCATTCGACTTACAACCAAGAAAACCAATTTCTTTGAGTAAATCAAGTACATATTTGCTTTGGTTGATCACAAGTCCTTCTTTTGACCTTGCCACCTCCATTCCTAGGAAATACCTTAGCTTTCCCAAGTCCTTGTTTTTGAATTCTTTATTTAACAACTTCTTCAAATTGTAAATCTCTTCTTCATCATCTCCGGTAAGAATTATGTCGTCCACGTACACAATAATGATAGCTTTCTTATCTGTTCATTTAATGCTATAAAAGGGAAAATTACTATAGTTACTCATTGAAGAGTGATATTTTTGCAACAAAAATCTAATATAACTCAGAGGAAATTCAACCCGGTGAGGGATCCGTGTTCAATATTGTGGGATATACCGTGGGATGATATGGCAACAATGGAGTTGACTCACGGAAAGAAAGACCACTTCAAAGCTCCACCTTCACAACTCATACTCTATCTAAAGACTGGACCAACTGATACAAAAGAACAAGTTTGTATCATAAAGTGCACTCGAGATACTGATTAGGCTCTTCAAGTTTACTTTTCAATTGAAAGAGCAATGATTATACATGGACGTAACCCTTCAAAGGAACTAGTGAAGAAGAAAGTGACTAAACCATAATCACCAGTATGCGAAAGCAATGCAGTTGAAGTGAATACAAAAGAAGTGGGTTCCACCTGGTCTTCAGGATAAGTGTCTAATCCTACGAGACCAACTTTTGGCGGCAGCAACAACATCTTATTTTGGGAGTGAGATGTTAAAGCGAATGAGCACCAGTTGAGTGCTAATAATTTTGCTTAAATGGAATTAAAATAAAATGGTTGTTGGATAATATGGGATGATTACTCTACCTCAGTATTAATGAATTCAATTTTCTTCAAAAAAAAAAGGCTAAGTGGGAGATTAAGAAATCAATTCTTGAGGAATCCAGGAAAGAAGCTGAGAAGAAATATGATGAACTTAATGAACAGAACAAGATTTCACACAGTTGGATTGAAGCTATGCATATTCAGTTGGCTGAGAAAGATCGCGATTCTATTTCATATTCACATGGTGATTCTGGTATGCAGAATATAAAATTACCTCCAACGGACGATAGAAATAGCAGAAACTGAGATATGTTTATTGAATCAAAAGCAAACAAAATGATTTTCATTATTGTACTATATCCAGGAAAAAAGAAAGAAGCAAAAGATTCTAAATTTAAACTTCTGGTGCTTGGGTTCTACTGCTTCCACCGCCATTTAGGTGTTGTAAAAATCATGTTATTGATCAAATTTCCAGATACTCTTAATTTATTTAGGCTCTTGTTTATTGTCCTTAACATAATAGTTTATTGTCCTTAAAATAATAGTTTCTTGACAATGGGCAAAACTAATTTTAGTAAAAGAGAAAAAGCAAAACAAAAAGGGGAAAGGAGAGTACCTTTGCTGTAGGATATTGGCTATGATTGCGTTGGTGAGATTGTGAGTAATTGTTGCCTATTGGTGCTGAAATGTCGTTATGACTGTACGAGAAGGGATAACAAAAGAAAGTACCGAGACAGAGGTAAAGAGAGCGAGAGATCGGGATTTTAACATTTGGGAAATTTGAAACTCTGTAACGGGCTCAAGTGATTACCCTAAGTGGCATTTTAGTTCCATTGAATTAAAAAGAACAAATTTTTATATGATATATAATGGTGTTGTAGTAAAAGGACTTACAATTTAAAAATATATACATTTAATATTATTAACTAAGTTTTTCACTTGTATTCAGATTTTAAGTTTCTTTAGTAATTTTATTATTGTTTGAAGTAGGTAATTGTTTTTTAGATGAATTGCAATCAAAACATAAGTAATTTATTGTTCTAAATATCTAAAATTGATACTTATATAAATATATCGAACATGAAATTTAAGGTGAATATTTTATTAAACAAAAATGAATGAATAAATAACTATACTAAATGTGACCCTTAAACTTATAAAAATCATTAAGCTTGGTCCTTTGACCAATGATTTTCTTCATTGACTGTTATATTTCTGATGTGACACATCACGATACTGAAATAGTAATTTATTGTGCTAACATGGCTGTCCAGAGTGATTATTACGTGACAGACGAGTTAAATTAGTTTTTTTTATCAAGATCAATGTATAAATTAGTTTTTCCAAAATTTCAAGGGCTTATTTATTTATTAAAAATCATTATTCTAAATTTAAAATTTAAAATATACAAAATAAAATATAAAAATACTAAAAATGAAAACTAAATTTCTAGAAAATTGAACGATATATATTAACCAAAGTAGGACAAATTTCCTATTATTATTTTTACATTAAGTTTAAGTGAAGTTTACTTCCGTCAATCATTTTATATTCACTAAAAATCCATTTCCTTGGATTTTTGCATTATGAATCTGTTTCGTCAATTCCCAACTTATGTTTTATTTGATTTGGTTTATGGGACTCGACCTCCATCTGCATGAATCTATCCAGCATGGACTCCATTTTCTCAACTCCTCCATACTTGGTTTTCATTAGTTCGAGTCTATTGGATTTTGCCTCCAATTCCTTATCATTCACATTAAAAATCACACGTCTTCACATAAGGTAAAGAAACTAACACAATACAAGTAATAAAATTCATCGTCTTTTTTAAAAGACAGCTCTCAAAATACATTAAATTTATCCAACATGGACTCCATTTCGTCAATGCCCCCATACTTTGACTTTATTTGGTCTGATCGATTCATCTCGGTTTCAAATAATTGGCGGGACATATCGTAATCTACCTCTTTTTGTTGCATTCTACGTAACTCGGAGTTCATGTGGTTAATCTGTGACTCCATTTCATCAATCCCCCCAAATCTGGAAACAACTTCCATTTCTCTATCGTGCTGAGGCTTCATCATTCTAAGTTCGTTTAACTCCCTCTTCATTAGTAAATTTTAAAAGAAAACAAAAGGTTGCGATATTAGTAACTTGTGTATGGCAATTGCGGATTTGAATAGAGAGATTTCATTTACCCTGATGTCCGCTCGATACTTCTTATCCGCGTCTCTTTTTTCCTGCATTCTTTCAAGCTGTTGCTCTTTTCTGAGACTAGCCTTCCGCTTCTTTCCAATGCAAGCTTGAGATGGTGTCCCTGCTATGTCGAGATGGCTCTTTACATTTTCCATTGGTGTTACCCTTGGCTCGTTTGAAGCTTCTTCAGGGAGATCACGGTCGGGTTAAAAACTCTGAGCTCCATCATCAACGTTTTCTTGAGAGTTATGATGAGAATTGATACACGTATATAATCAATCTGTTGACATGAAATTTAATTACAATTGTATGCTTTTGGGAGTGACTTGATATATATATCCTTCAGAACGTGTTTGTCTTTTTGAGTGCAAAATTCGAGGTTGGTGTTTTATTTATTTTTTTAATTGTTTTCACTCGAGAAAGGTCACTAATTTTAAATATGTTACTAATTTTTGTGCATGCATTGTCCACTGGCCACAATTTTGGATTTTTTATTAACTTGATATTTGGAAATTTTGGATTTTTTATTAACTTGATCACAATAAATATTAAATTGATCACAATATTAGTGTCTTGCAAAATTTTGGATTTTTATTAACTTGATATTTAGAAATAATTTTTGGGATTAATTTGATTTGGAGTCATTATCGATTTTTGGGTTAAGTAGGTTGAATACCTTAAAAACTATTTTTAATGAATTTTAGAAAAATCATTTAAAGACGAAGATTGGTTTGCGTATTACCAGAAATTTAATTTTTAAGGATTGGGAAGTCGGTTACGTGTGGGGAAAGGTAAGCACCCCCACGACGTCTAAAATTGGTACCTTTCGATTTTACGTTGTCTGAATAGTGAAACTTTATATATTCAAATCCAATATTTATATTTATTAAGATTTAAAAATTAACGGGATATTCCCTCATTCGTACGTCTTAAGGGATCGAACTCCAGATGTTTTGAAGATTTTCCCATGAACTACTCTTCGTTCGAGATATTCCAAAAAATAGATATAACTTAAAATTAATTTTTTTATAAAAATAATTTATTTATAAATCAAATATACGTAAATAAAAAGTAATATGTTTTTTTTGTAACCCTCAAAATGACACTTCATATATTCAGAGACATTCCATAAGTTAATTAAACATAAGACATTTACTTAATTTTAAATCAATTTAAGCAATACTCACTACTCGAATGTATATAATATTTACAAGATATATATATATATATAAATATGTAACACCCCAACCCGTACCCGACCTGGATACGAGTCCGATATGTCACATTGACTTTTTAAAACAATATTCTTAACAAAATACATATCATTTGGACTTATATTAAGAAAATATGATAATGTATCGTTGAATTATGTTCGTTATAACCAATTTAAGGAAATATAGGTTTTATGAATAGTATTATACTGTATGAACAGTACCGTGAACAGTAATGAACAATGCTGTGAACAATCCTTTCTGATTGCCCGTCAGTGTGAGGATGAAAAGACGTACTAAAATTTAAGCGAGTTCCTAATGCTCCATGTAGGGATTTACAGAATCTTGAAGTAAATCGAGGGTCCCGGTCTGAAACTATAGAGACAAGCACTCCATGCAATCTAATAATTTCTCTAATGTACAATTCTGTGTACTTTTCCATAGAGAAATATGTTCTAACCGGAAGAAAATGTGCTGACTTAGTCAATCGATCAACAATTACCCATATTGAATCTCTTTTGTTAGGAGTCAAGGGTAACCCCGAAACAAAATTCATCGTCACATTTCCCCACTTCCATTGTGGAATGGAAAGCGGTTGCAATAATCCTGACGGAACTTGATGTTCAGCTTTGACTTGTTGACATACCAAGCACATAGACACAAATTCTGTGATACTTCTTTTCATTCGTGACCACCAATATCGATCTTTCAAATCCATATACATCTTGGTTCCACCCGGGTGCATTGTCAATGGACTGCAATGGGCCTCTGTCAATAAATATTTCTTCAATTCCTCATCGTCTGATATCACAATTCTTCCTTTATAATACAATTTCCCATCCGAATTAACCTCAAAATCTTTAATTTCTTCATTCCTTACTTGCTCTATTCTTTTCAAACACATTTCATCTTTAATTTGTAATTCTCCAATTCGATCCAACCACGTTGGTTTAAGCTTTAACTCTGCACATAGACCACCGTCTCCAGTTAAAGATAATCTTGCGTCCATAGCTCGTAAAGCTGCAAACGTTTTCCTGCTCAAAGCATCTGCTACCACGTTAGCCTTTTCGGGATGGTAGTCAATTATCACATCATAATCTTTTAAGAACTCAACCCATCTCTTTTGTCTCAAATTAAGCTCTTTTTGAGTCATCAGATATTTCAAGCTCTTATGATCAGTATACAAGTAACAACGTTCTCCGTAGAGGTAGTGACGCCAAATCTTGAGAGCAAACACTACAGCAGCCATTTCTAAATCATGAGTTGGATAATTCTTTTCATGTGGTTTTAATTGTCTAGATGCATACGCTACTACTTTTCCCTCTTGCATTAATACACGTCCCAACCCATTATGGGACGTGTCACTATACACTACAAAATTCTTACCGGATTCATATTGAACAAATACAAGAGCTTCTGTTAAAATTTTCTTTAACGTTTCAAAACTTTCTTGACACTCCAAAGTCTAGACAAATGATACGTTCTTTCTCATCGGCTTTGTTAAAGGTAACACTATCATCGAAAAATTCTTAACAAATCTCCGATAATAACCTGCCAGTCCAAGGAAACTCCGAACTTCCGATACACTCTTTGGAACTTCCCATTCCATTATAGCTTTAATATTTTGAGGGTCCACCCTAATCCCATCTGCATAGATCACATGCCCAAAGAAAATTACTTCATTTAGCCAAAATTCACATTTGGACAGTTTAGCGTAAAGCTTCTTATCCCTGATAATTTGCAAGACTATTCTTAAATGTGCGTGAAGACACTAGTTTTTATTTCATTTGTTTTATTTATTATTATTATTATTTTGTTTTATTATTATATTATATTATTATTATTAAATAATTAATTAATTTTAATACATTGCAGGCCCAAAACCCGGGGCCCAAT